ATAATTTTCAATTAAAAATTTCACAAAAGTTTAATATGACATATCCGTAGTAATTGACTCTTTTGTCATCAGTTTATAAAAAATAAATAGGGCTTGTAATAACCAGTCTTTCATAATTTGCCAAACAGTAAACATCGTTAAGTTGTGCCTAAAATAAACAAATGAAAATCAAAATTAAGTAAATAAATGATTAAAATAGTTACCAGGTTAGAAACGCTATCTGTCAAAATTTGCCGTTTGCCATCAGTTCAAATTTTCACAACAAACCAAATGCTAAGTTGAATTTTTAATTAAATAAATCAACATAACAAAATATAATTAAAATATTCTAAATAATTAAAAAATTCTAAATAACAAATAAAAAAAAGGAAAATTAATAAAAACAAAAACTTCTTATTCGTATAAAACAAAACATAACACTACATTTACAAATCGATATACGTATATTTATGCCTTTTATGAAAAAAAAAACATTTCAAAAATTTGAAAAGATTTTTTTATTGCAGTAAATGTGTAAAGTATACATTTTTGAATTATATACGTTGGTATAGTCTTTCGGAAATTAGTTGAACATGTATAAAAACGCCTAGCAATAGAATTGAATGAGTTTCATAGGCGTCCCTAAAAAAGTTTTCTGCTACAAGTAAAAGAATAATATTAATTTGTATATAATATGTAGAAATGAACAATTTTAAATTTTTTTCTCAATCTCTTAACACATCTATAAATATTGCTGTGTTGTCTTCTTCCATTGTGAAAATAAAACTGGACTTAAATAATGTTACGACTATCGACTGGTATCTAAGACTGTACCGTCAACGTGTACAGTCATGTGGTACTAGCACAGCTAACCCGGCTTTAAAATGTAAATTAGATGAGTTGTTCCCCACAATATCAGCAGTTTTTGGTACAGATTTTATTTTACGATTATACGATTTTACTCCAGGTGTTACAGTTATTAAAAATTATGTTATTTTAAAAATTAAGAAATTTCCGATGGGAAATAATTAGACAAAGTTTTTCTATCACGCGCTATATATATTCAGAAATAATTTATCACTGTAAAATTACATGGACATCTCTGCTGCACGAAATACGCCAGAAAAGGCTGTCACAAATCTTAAAGACTTTTTTCACTATGTATATAAAACATTATTCATAATATTCACTGAACAAAACAACACTCGAAAACACTTAATAAATAGACACTATGACGTGTATTCGAGGGAAAGGCCTCTACAATTAATTTTTCCACCTGAGTTCATCCCCCATATATCCACCAAACCTCGATGTCCATAACTGTGTCCCTTTGTGACGCAACAAATCACCCTTCACGCTACCCGCCCGCAGTAAATGAGCCCGCCCGCTGTAACTTTAAATGTCTTGATATAATGTATGGATTACCCTTCATGTGCCAAGAGTTGTATCGCATAAAACACGCCTAATATCCGAGTAAGAAGGGGAATATAGTAACTGACGAGGAAAAAGAGCTCAAGAAAAGTCGTTGAAAAGTATTTTTAGTTTCCAAATTCAATGATAGAGGGCGTATTACATATAACAAACATTTTTTTAAATATTTTCAGTTAAGATATTACCACCTACATTACAAAGCCCCACGTCAGGTATGTCATTGTTTAGTGAGTCACTATCAGAAGTTTAGTGTTACAAAACTATTACAATATTAATTATATTGTAAAACACGAGTTTGAATAGCTTCAAGATGTCCTCAAACAATATGTAAACATCGAGTCGATTTTATGAAAATGTTAAGTTTTTGATGTACACAATAGAACCCTGAAGATGGTTTTCTTTTCATATTTTCGAAACACTTAAAGATACGCAAATTACATTTTGCACATGTACTAAACTTATTATAGTGAATCGTTATTGATGTCAAATTGTATTTTAACCAAAACGAAATGCGTCAACATCTTAAAATATGCTGCATGCTGTTTTGTTCCATCTTGTGTAATCGTTGAAATCGTTTTCCGAAGTTACAGGCAAATTAAATTATGCAAATTGTAAATAAATAGATATAAACAAAATAAAAACTGAATCAAAAAAACTTGTTTGAGAATAACGATGACCACAATATATAGTTTTATTTCTAGTCTGGGGTACATAGAAGATTTGTGTACGCACAGATTTTTAAATCTATCGGCCAGTTTTAACTGTTGTTAGTGCGGTAACCAACTACTCTGCTGGCTACATGGCCGGACCATCATTGAATTATACCAGCAATACTTGTTTACCAAATGTCAATTAAGAATGGTTCGCCTAATTGGCGATAGGTCGTGCTTTCATAGAACCTACGAAATAGAAGGTCACTCTCTGCCAGTATAGACAGGCATTTATAGCAGCAGATAAGTTAGTTATACGTTTGTGAGAAGAAAAAATATTATTTGCTTTAGAACACAACCTCCAGAGTAATATAAATGTTGTAATTTTATATTTACTTCACATTTTCGATCAACTTAAGTTCGCTTTGTGTTTTTAAGTGCATACTCCTCGATAATTTTCCACCCAAGCCTTTGTATGACATTGTTTACAAACTTTATAATGTGGAAAGGAAGTTAACACAATTTGTGGGGGTCTCGAACAAAAGTTTATGCCGTCTGTACTTACACTGAAAGGTTCTCTAGTTCGTCCCGATTCTTAACTTTGTAATATCTCGAAAGGGCTATTATGTTGCAGCGAACTTTCCGCAATTATGAAAATCTTATAAGGAATTTCCTATTGCTGCTCTTCGGCTCTTGTTCTGAGACGAATCTTGAGGTTTTTCATTTTGGCTCGATTCTCTTGACAGTCAATATACGACAAAGAAGCAATATCGATATGGTACGATCATTTGGCCATACCTCCTTCATTATAAGAGATAGAAGTTACACTACCCCTAGAAATTACGGTACATAATTCTGGACCACCTTGTATACAGTACGCGCCTAAAGTATGGAATAAATTCAGTGAAAACGAAACAAATTTTTTTTGGGAGAAATTCTCGAATAGGTCGATTTTTAATTTAAAAAATACATATTTTAGCATAAAAGGCGATTTTCAACCGTCATTTGTTTTCGAGTAATGATGTCATCAACATTTTTTTTAAATAGCAAAACCCCCTATTTTTTTTTCTTGATTCTGAAAGATCGTTTCATTGTTGATCCGACAGTATTAAAATTTTGCCATCTTACATAGGAAAGTTTTCGAGTAAATGACGATTTAATGTTAGAAAACCCAAGTCAATCAAAATTAAGCAAAAATAGTTATCAAATTTAGTTTTTCGAAATGCCTGAAGTTTTTTATGGATCACGTAGGTGTAAATCTTTACAAAGTCTCACTGTCATACCGACTTTCTAAGTATTGTAAGCGATATAAAAATTATTGTTGAATTTAAAGTATTATGGCACATTTAACTGTCACACAAAGAATTGAAATTTTAATTCTTATCGGATGCGGGGATAAGACTAGAACGCAGCAGGAAGTTTGCGATTTATTTAATGAAAAACATCCAGATCGCCGTATCAGCCAATCAACAGTCAGTAAGATAGAATCTAAATTTAGAGAAACTGGCAATGTTGTAGATATTCCAAAACCTGGACGTCCAAGCGTTAGTGAAGATCACAAACAGAACATTTTGATAAGTATGGTAGATAATCCTCATAATACTTCACGATTGGTTGCATTAAACAATGAAATTAGTCAGACCACAGTGCTACGTATCCTGAGGCAGGAAAAATATCATCCCTACAAAATTCAACTTGTGCAGGAACTCAATGAAGACGATCCCGACCGCCGCTTACACTTTTGTGAAATTATGATGGATTTATGTCAAGTAAATAGAGATTTACACCGGCAAATACTTTTTTCAGACGAGGCCACGTTTTGTCTCAATGGTACAGTGAACCGTCAAACTTGCAGGTATTGGAGTCGGGAAAATCCTCATTGGATGGCAGAGACACATACCCAACACCCACAGAAATTAAATGTGTGGGCTGGAATAGTTGACAACAGAATAGTAGGGCCTTTCTTCTTTGAAGGAACCCTTACAGGAGAAAGATATTTAGAGTTTTTACAAAATGACCTTGTTCCAGCGCTTGCAGTAATTTTTCCTAACGATAATGACCCTGATATTCCTGATGACACCATATGGTTTCAGCAAGACGGTGCACCTCCGCACTATGCGCGCCCTGTTCGAGATTTTCTGGACAATTGTTTTCCTAGGAGGTGGATCGGCAGACGAGGACCGATAGAATGGCCCGCGAGATCCCCAGATCTTATACCCCTGGACTATTTCTTATGGGGCTACGTAAAGTAGCGTAGCGTATACGTTAATAGACCACATAATTTAGAAGAACTCCAAAATTGTATTATAGATGAAATACACAGAGTTACCCCAGAAATAATTCATAATGTGCAAGAAGAATTTCTACACAGACTTGCGTATTGTCAAGAAGTCGGTGGGTGGCAATTCGAACACTTAATTTAGGTAGAAAACTTAATGAATTGTATTTGCTTGACATAGAAATTGTTATTTTTTTTGATGAATAAAATGTACGTTTTCTATCATTCAATCGTCTTTTACTCGAAATCTTTCCTATGTAAGATGGCAACATTTTAATACTGTCGGATCTTTCAGAATCAAGAAAAAAAATAGGGGATTGCTATTTAAAAAAAATTTCGATGATGTCATTACTCGAAAACAAATAACGGTTGAAAATCGCCTCTTATGCTAAAATATGTATTTTTTAAATTAAAAATCGACCTGTTCGAGGATTTTTCCCAAAAAAATTCTTTCGTTCTTACTGAATTTATTCCATACTTTATGCGCGTACTGTATGTATATTTACTGGAAAATATCTCACAAAATATAAAAGTAATATATTTTTTTCGTATAATACAAATACATTTTACCATGTTCGAGGGAAACTGAATGTGGCCACAGCGAAATTTTTCATATATCCCTGACAGTACATTAATACTGAAACGTAATATGTTTTTTTCAGATATTCCCGTGGTTACATTAAAAATGGGATCAACGCTTAACCCCGACGATATTAAAGAAGGCGATGATGTATATTTTGAGTGTAATGTTCGGTCCAACCCCAAAGCGCACAAGCTTTCATGGTACCATAATGTAAGTATAAGTTTTTTCGCATACCTACTTATACCTATGCCTGCGGTATGTATCCACAAATATTTCACAAAATATATGGGGTGATTTACAAGTCATCCAAAAAAATTAGAGGATATTCACTGGATCCATTGCGTAGAGACCAAATCAAAATTACCCGAAGAATGTTCTGCGTGCGAGCGAAATTACATTTTGACCAACGGTTGTAGTTTTGTAGATGTTTTACAGGTTCATTTTCATCCAATTATTAAAATATTGGTCAACAATATTGTTTCAAATCTTTATTTTTAAACAAACTATGCAGAACACAATACTATTAGAATTTTTCTATTATATTGTCAAACAATTTTTAGAAATTAACAAGTCAATTGCAAAATTAAATGTCATTGTATAAGAAAAAAATTTTACCCATGTTCTGTGATGTTGTTATCTGAAGATGGGATAAAACCCGAAACGATCGTAATAAACAATTGTTAAAAAGAAAAATAGTTTTATAAATAAATTATTTACAACTGATGCCATTCGCTTCGTCACGATTGACCCGCACCATCTTCCTTCATATGCACTGTAGGTTGCCTATAATTCATGTATTAATAATACATGAAGATTACAGTGGCGGCGTACGCAAGTATTAAAATTCATTTAAAAAAACTAATTATAACCCGACTATTTATTTGATTAAAAAAAAAGAATTTTCAGATTCATATTTAAGAATTTATTGAAGTTTCGTACACTAACATTTCCATATTGATGACACTTTATGACATAGAAAACGAAGTAATTAAATTTAATTTTAATTTAAAAATGTTATTCATTTGTAAAATAGTTGTATTTGTAACAGTTTTGGGTTAATTAATTATTTGTATTAGATCATTACTCGTGCATTTTCGATTCAAACTTGAAATAATTATGTCAATCGAAACGTATTTTATTTGATAACAGAAACGAAATAACATAGGTAGGTACTCTAGTTTACAGATTTTTTTTTTTTTTTGTATTGTACTAACCCGAAAAACTATTGTATTTGAAACATGAACAAACGCCGTAAAAGCCGGAAAATCACTAAATACAATACGTACATGTTAAATATTTATCTTCACCCGCAGCAAAAAAAAAAGAAAATGGCCCCATTCTATTTTGAATGTGAGTCAAATCACATCAAGTAGAGCCCCCATTTCCAGGTGATCATGGAATTTGAGTTCATATTTTAATCAAAAGTTGTCATTATCAACAATCTTACCCTAAAAGCGTTTTTTTAAATTTTCATTTTAACAATAATTTTTTGCAAAAAACATTTTTGGGACGTTAAATTAAATTTACATTTAAAGTAAAAAATTAATTGTGTAAAAACTATTTAGAGATATCTTAATGAAATTTTCAGGACCTGTGTAATAGATATTTATATTTTAATAACAAAATAAAGTTAACTAATTTATTATCATATTTTTAATAAACTTTTAAATAAACAAATGAAAATTTTAATGAATTAAGTAAAAAAAAACGGTTTTTCGCTAATAAAAAAAATTGAACTCCAATCGAAAAAAGTTAAATGAGAAAGTTTTCGAGTTATAACGATTTTTCGAAAAAGAGGTTATCTCGAAAATCTGCTCTTCTTGCTCGACAAATAGTCGTAAAGAAACGAATCAGGGCTCATTTTTTTCCTTAAGAGTTGTACTTTCATGGTAAAAAGGAGTGATAACGATTTTATTCATTTCAAGTGTCCAAAGATGATTTTGAAAAAAGTAAAAATTTTTTGGTCGCGTTTTTCTTGAATATCTTTTTCGATTTTCATTTCTCGATAATATCTATTACAGGAATCGATTGCTGGCATTTTTACGAGAATTTAAAAAAAAATCATTGCTCTACGACCTTCTGGAGCCGAGATATTTTTTTTTTTTAAATTCCATAGGCCGCTATTTATCTGCTACAACGTCCATTCTTACAGAGATTGAAGTTGAAAATTTATATTTTCAATAAAAAAATACTGTGGTTCATTTTAGTCACTTTTGCATTTTTAATTGTGCGTCAAACTGAAGCATTCGAGCGCGGCGCGAGCTAACTGTAGCGGGGGGCGNTATTTATCTGCTACAACGTCCATTCTTACAGAGATTGAAGTTGAAAATTTATATTTTCAATAAAAAAATACTGTGGTTCATTTTAGTCACTTTTGCATTTTTAATTGTGCGTCAAACTGAAGCATTCGAGCGCGGCGCGAGCTAACTGTAGCGGGGGGTAACGCTACTCGGCCGCTCCAAAAACTGAATTCGCGCGTTCAAAAGCGCTCTTACTTTCAAAATCTTCATTATCTCGATCTCTGGACCACGTACAAAAATCATTTTGTAGAAAAACAACAAAATATGTCGTTTACGACCAGCAACAGGTGTGTAAAAATGTGTTCTGAATAGTGGACGATGAGAAATTGCATTGGAAATAAATATTAAATGAAAAAGAGTCGTATCGGGGATCGAACCCAGAACGCCTCGACTGCTATGACATCGCGAAGCGTTCGCAGCCCACTAAGAACCCTTTTAATACATTTCCATAACATGGTTTATATACTTAAAATTTTATAATATCTAGTTACTTCTTCTATAATATAATTGGTTGAGTAATTTTTGAGTTAAATCGTAACAAACAAAAATTCAATCATCTTTCATCTAATGCGACCCTACTATTAATTTTAAAATAATTCACTATATATCTATATACCTAAAGACAACAAACGAACTCAAAACTAAAAATGCTAAACCTTTAAATTTAAAACAATATAGATAACTACCAACAATGTGAAAACAAAACGAATTAAATTAAAGTACCTGTGTTCAGGACTATCAATTTTAATTAATAAGTAAGTAGTTAGGTATCTAACTACCTAAAGAAAACAAACACGAAACAAAAATGCGACTATGAAGTTTTAAATGATTCACAATAAGAAAAAAACAAACAAATTATTAAAACTCAATGAAATAAAAGTATGTTTGCAAGTATCTATGTATGTTCCGACTACCTAAAGACAACAAATACAAAACAAAAATGTGACCTTAAAATATCGAACGCAATTATAACTTTCCAACAACACCCAGAAAGAAAACACAGTCGTCAGTCGTCACCTCCATTCGCTCCAAGTCAGTTTATTAAAGGATCACGCGCGCGTTATCGTTCGGCTTATTAGCTAAACAGTAGGCAAGACGGTGCGGGGGGAGGGTCGGCGATCGCATCAAGCGAAGCGAGGCGCTTGAATTTTATTCTCGCGTCCGTAATTTTTTTGCGATTACTCCTAAGATATTCATTTAAATTATATGGTGTAAAAGAGTAAAATAATGTGCATGAAATGCTTAAAGCCTCTAACTTATTTAAAATGATAAGGATTAATACCGTATTTGTGTAAATAGCTTTTACATTACCGCTTTATAATTGCCAATTTTTTAAAGTATTAAAATGGATATAGGTAGTATGTTATCTTTAACATATAGACATATGCCATCGCGGACTTTTCTGTAGACCTATATAAGATATACATTATTTTGTTATATCTCAAAGGGTTTAGGCAGCGTTTTCGTTGAAAGCTCCCAGATGGCTTATTTTTTTCCGACACCTCCAACAAATATCGTTAATGTATACAAAAACTTAACAAATTATATACTAAAACCTTCCTCGAGAACCGCTCTATCCATTGGTGAAAACAGCATGAAAATCGGTGCAGTAGTTTTTTAGTTTATCGCGGACAGACAGACAGACGCGGCGCAGGAGACTTTGTTTTATAATAATATGTAGTGATTATAACAATGAATATATTACGTATGTTTCCACAGTTTTTTTCCATTGCCGGATACCAATCTATACCAGTTAATTCTTCACCATTCATTTGCTAACGGTAAAATCCGTGTATTTTTAAACTTCGGGCGGGCTGATTTTAGCTTTTCAAATATTTAACCCGGTTATTATCCTACAACCGAATTAATTACAAAAATAAATACATTTGCCAAATTCCCGGACGCAAACACTCACAAACCTTTTTTTAATCCAAATTTGTTACATGTAACGTGCAATGTTTCACCAATTTGGCAGGACGTTGCAACAGTTGACGAGAGCGGGATAGGATCAATCAGCGAGTGATGAATGAATTTATCAATAGCCGGGTTAAAAACAAAAGAGGCAAATACATGCATCTAGAAAACAACTGCGTTAATTAAACATATAAATTTCGCTTTACACGGGCATACATTTAGTAGTACAATTTTGTGCTTTTACACTTGCTATAAAATTTGATATATTTATTTGAGTCCGTATTCGCCCGTTGAAAAATAGCTGGGTTTGCTATTAACAATATTTTATGTACTTTGTTACGCTGAATGCTGTTCGGATTTGGATTTATATTCGAATTCAATAATTTGGAGCCGAGTGTACTTTATTTTTGCTGAACTAACTGGCATGTAGGAAAGGTCACGGGGAATCGAAAACGATAATGTCGACGTAATCAAGACTCTAAGTTATATTAAACATTATTCAGCAGAGCAGAGTCCAAAAATAGTTGTGTAGAGAGCAGAAATAGTTGACTATCATCAGATACTTCAGCGACAGTTCGACGAAAAATACTCAAAGGACCAAACCTGGAACAAATCATCTGAGAACAGATTTGAGAGCAAGAGAAAAGAGCCGCAGAAATTGAGACAAACTTGATACAAACAGGTAGAAATGTTCTAAAACTTATCTATTACATTCGACACGTTACCTTCCTCCTGATCTCGAATTACATTTATGGTCAAAATCTTTTTGTATCTCCAGGTAAATAAATCCATAGACAATAAGTTCAGACCACTTAAAAAAGGAAATGGTGGTGGGCCTACCGATTCCTAATATGACTGCTTCTGGTACTAAAAAATCCATGAAATGACCTTTGAATATTTGATCAATTTGTCTTGTTGATCACAAATTATGTTTGTGGCATTGTCGTATCTAGTTCAATATTAACTGTTTGAACTTTTTATAAACTCAGGCATTTG